CAAATACAGTTTTAAAACAAAAATTATGAAAAACACTTTATTTAGCTTATGTGACATTAAACTTCTTTCTGCAACAATGCCATAGACAGTAAAGGGACACAGCAAAGAAAAGGCAGTACCTGGAGGAACGGAAAGCAGATCTCAAAATCTTCTTTCACACAACAGCAAACATTTGTAAAAAGGCCCAAATTTAAAAGCCTGCTAATGGTACAAAGCATTCATTTGAAAAAAGTGACAAATGATAGGCAGCAAACAGTCTCAGGTACACAGGGCCACTGAGTAGAGTGACAGGACCGAGAGCCGCAGCAGGTGGACACCGCGCAGAGAACACCTGCAGCCGCAGAAGCCGTGCAGGTAACGGGCGCTGTTCTGGGCCGGCATCGCAAGCCTTGGCCCATCAAGGAAACCCACACCACATAACAGTGACTGGCCCACAAATGAATAGGGTCCTCGACTCCAAAGCAAGAAAAGGGGTTATAAGATCACATATCACAAAGAATGCGTATCTTTAGAGCTGCCACTACAGCCCAAATTCCAGCAACTTGGAGAGCTACAAAGAAAAAGCATGTGTTTCACACTATAGGAAACCGACTCCACAGGGAAGCAGCAGTGCCTAAAAGATGTGAGAATTTTACATGAGTAAACTGGTAAACTTCCAAGAAACTGCACCTGGGGAAAGCAGTAACAGATAAGAGGAGGTGAGGGCAGTACTACCTACTAGCTGATGAGCCCAGGATGGGAGGACTGGAATAACAAAATGCATCTTATTTTTTCCACCTGTCAAGGATGCTATTCTGGCCCTAGCCGGTTTGGCTCAGTGGATAGAGTGTCGGCCTGCGGACTGAAGGGTCTCGGGTTCGATTCCCAGTCAGGGCACATGCCTGGGTTGCGGGCTTGATCCCCAGTGGGAGCGTGCAGGAGGCAGCCAATCAATGATTCTCATCATTGATGTTTCTATCTCTCCCTCTCCCTTCCTCTCTGAAATCAATAAAAATGTATTTTTTTTAAAAAAAAAAGGATGCTATTCTGTAAAAGTTCATGTGAACCCCATCTGAGAAGGTAGGCAATTGTAACTTAGCCGTCTCTCCCTTACGCACTGAGGCTCTTCAGAGCAAGTCCTGCAGCAGGGACCATGCTAACCAGAAGACAAAATCTGGCCTAAGCGTTGCCCGATGTAGGCTTATTGACCTTGGGCAGGTCAGTTTACCCCTCTGGCCTTTAATTTACACGTGTGTAAAAGATGGGACGGAACTAGTTATCTATAAGGGTGTTCCAGAAATTGGGGCCGGCCCCACCACAAGCAGGCCCCACTTAAGCCAGAGCGGCCATGCTTGTCAGGCTGCTTTTAACTAGTTAAACTGCATGGCCCGCATTCAGTTCTGTCACTTATTCCCTGAGTGACCTTGAGCAAGTTTGCTTATCCTCTCTGGCTTCCACAGCCAAAAAGAGGGGACAACAGTCATTGCTGTGAGGATTAACTGGATGGGTGAGGCACTGAGAACTATGTCTGGCACATAGTAAGTGTTGCTCAAATATTTTTAGGTACTAAATGATGTATTTTTACAATTCCCTTCACATAACCTTTACTGTTTTTAAAAGGTTTTTAGTGCTTAGAGAAATGTGTCAAATCTTATTTTTAAAAAATGGTTGGTTTCAAAACAGACCTAGAAATGGAAGGTTCACCTTGAAGAGGTGTCAACTTATGCAAGTCCCTCAGCCAATTTAAATACAACCAAACTTGATTGTCACATGCTAGAAAATGGCTTATATCTATGAACATATAATATAGCTCTGCCAACAACTGGAAACTGATTGTTTTTTACTGACATCTGAAATAATTGTCCTTCCAGCTGAGTTAGCAGGGGAAGTAATCCAAATAAAGGGGGGCTCACTGCAGAGCTTTCGACTCTGAGTTTTGTTTTTATACAGTCAGTCTCCAGGCCTGCTCTTACTAGGCTGACAAACGATAATCCTCTGTTCCCACTTCAATGTGTCAGGAAAAATCTCTTCAAAATTATTTTAGGGTTGAATCCTTTGTAGGGAGTCCTGGTGGACAGCAAGCATATGACAGGCCAGACAGAGGGGGTGTGGTGAGGGGGGAGGGCGTGCTGTTAGAACAACATGTGAAAACACAGCACAGCTCTGGGTGCTCACACAGTCCCCCTCAGGCACTGCCAGCTCTCCGAGGAACCTGAGTGAACACTGTGCTAAGAGAATAGTGCATGGAGAATAGTCCATGGTAGTTATATAATTGAAATTTGTCTGTATGACTCCACATTAAACCTTCTTGTTTGGAAATAAGCCCAAATCTCACTCATTCCCACAAAATAAGTTTCTCATATTAAATGATGATTTAAATATCAAAACAGTGGATCACTGTCCCATCACACATTAAGGTGTAGTTGGGCCCCAGCTGGTTAGAGCATTAGCTCGAGAACCACAAAGGACATGTGGGAAGCAACCAATCGATGTGTCTCACTCATGTGGATGTTCCTCTCTCTCTACCCCTCCTTCTTCCTTCCCACCTCCACCCTCCCTCCCCCCCCCGCCCCCCCACCTTCCACTCTCTCTAGAAATCAATGGGGAAAATATCCTCAGGTGAAGATTTTTTAAAAAGTGTAGTTGGGTGGGTTTTTGTTTTTAATACTCAATTCCTGTTGATAGTTGTCAGCTCCTACTCCCCCTAGTTCAGGGATAGGGAACCTTTTTTCTGCCAAGGGCCATTTGGATATTTATATCATCATTCGTGGGCCATACAAAATTATCAACTTAAAAATTAGCCTGTTATATTTGGTCAAACATTTAATTAACTCACCCCTAATGCCTTGGCAGGGCCAGACCAAATGATTTCACGGGTCTTATATGGCCCTTGGGCCGAACGTTCCCCACCCCTGCCCTAGTTAATTCCTTTTAAAGACTGAACTTGAAAACAATGAAACCCTTGCATAGCTATGGGAGAATTTTAAGTTGTCCATGGACCATTTTGGGAGATGGATACCCTGCAAAAAGACATTTAAAAAGAAAGTGCTATTAAAATGAAATCTTTAAAATGGACATTGACGAGTTTCCCCGAAACATGTAAAAATGGCATCCTGATCTTGCACACTGGTGGTTCTTAGAAATGTCTTAGAGGATATTTTTGGAGCGGATGGGCACAGAGACTCAAAACACTTCATCTGAAAGTGGGAAAATGCCCTTGAATATTAAAACAAAAACAAACAAAAAACTTTAAACTATAGACCATACTATCTCAACAGCCTACTTGGCCCAGGCCCAGTACCAATTAGGCCTCTCAGGTTGGACTAAATAACCTGTTTCCCCAGCACACGCAAGTGAGGCCTGAGCCAGGAAGAAATTACCAAGATGGCACATCCCCCTGATGCGCTGCGTCCAAATGCAGTGGGAGGCGCAGCCTCGAAAAGCATCAGGAATATCTGTGAACAGGGAGTCATGGGCACTGATGAGTTTTCCTAAGAGCATGCACTAGTCTGGATCAGCACAGGCGTGGCATGGAAAGGTGCTTGATTAGACGCGAGTCCAGCCCGGTGCCTACCTTGGGCATCAATAATCAACCTAAAGACCTTCATTCCATTACCTCATTCTGTTTTTTGTTGTTGTTTTGCTTTGCTTTTAACCTGTTACCTCTTTTATAAATACAATTAAGAGAATTTCATCGGCAAAGAATTGTTCAAGGCTAGGCTATCTCCTTTGCCTCCCATCCCCCTCTATTTGTCATGGGGCTTCTAAGCTACTCAGAAAGAAGTAAAACTGACCCGGATCACACTGGTTCCCTGGTCCCTAAACAGTCAAGCTTATTTTCTGTATTGAATCTCACTGAGGCTGTAACACTGAGTCATTAAGAATAATTTCAGACCACCTCAGAATATAGGCAATGGTGTGTTCTCTAGATGGATGTCCCAGTGTTTCTGAAACAGTTCTGCTCAACTTTTAATAAAATTGCACCAATATCAAAATTAAGACGTATTCAAGGTCTCACTAGCAGAAACCAACCTTTATATCATTGAATTATCCTAATGACTTAGTAAATACAGAGCGTGCTAGCCACAGTAAACCTATTTTCAAAAAGAAAATGTTTAATCTCATATCACAAGGTAATTTTTTAAAACCACAAAAATCACACATGATTATTTAATTGCTCACTTTCAAAATATAGATGTAACTCATTTTATGCATTCACTATGTTCCTGAAAATTTCCATTATTAAAAAGTAAGTTAAAATTGTAATTTGAGGTGCCTTATCATCATGTCCTATTTATGTTCTGCTTGGAATAAAAACTAATATTTTACTAAGTTTCCATTTCGCCCAGTCTACCATATAAATATTCTGATGTTTTATTTCACCCAGTCCACCATATAAATATTCTGATAAGAAAATAATTTAAAAGAGCCCGAGGGTGTAAAGAATTCTCTTGCTATAAGTAATTATTCTCTTATTCATGTCAAGTTCACAAACCAGGTCTTGTTCAAGTCGGGACAGTCTGACTCTAAACCTGACACTCTAGTTGTTCACCCTTCCCTGGGACGGGGTGCCTGGCACACACACAGCCGTGCCTCTGGATGGCTGTGGCTGCCCAGGAAACCGTGGCTGCCACCCTTACCCACAGGACAGAACCCTCTTCCTGCAAACAGCACCTTTCCCCAGCACATACACCCGGCCCTTTGGGACAAGAGAGTTTTTATGGAAGGGCAACTCCAGGGGCAGAGAGATTTAAATCTCCACAGTCCTCCATGAACATGATCTCACACACACACACACACACACACACACACACACACACACACACACAATGAGCAGGCTCTCTGAATGCGCATCAGGAGGGAACGAAGAGGGCAGCAATGTCTGGGGAAGAACCTGGCTCCCATCCTAGCTGGAGCACTGGCTCCCTAGTCACAGTCCCTCTGTCCTTCAGCAGAACAGTGCTGACATCAGTCCTCCCAGGCCTGTGAGGCAGGAGGTTTCAGCCCTGCATTCAAGCGGTCCAGAGAGAGCTTACAAAGGTCTATCCTAAAAGGCAGGTGAGATCGCACAATAAAGGTGGTATTGAATCTCACTGAGGCTGTAACACTGAGGCACTTGTAGGAAGTAGGAGTCTAGGAAGTAGGAGTCTACTTCCTACAAGTGCCACGTTCTCTCAACCCTTCCAGGCCCGATTCCCACCGTGCATTCCAAAACCTCCAAGATGTTTTTCCCAAAGGGGTGGGAAAAAGATGGAAAGTAAAAAAGGGACCACACTGATATCCTATGAGGCCCAGCAAGACAAACTGCATCCCAACGCGCCCCTAGTAACAAGGAAAACTGGCTGTCTCGCCCCGACTCCTGGGAAGTAGGGAGGTCGGGAAAGGATGGTACAGACTGAACCCACCGTGACTGCGGAGGGATCACACAGAAAGACGAAGCCCGCCCATCGCCATGGGGCTCACGATCGCACCGGAGCTCAGGCTGCAGCCGCCACCTCTGCAGCCTGTTCGCCTCAGGGCTGGTCTTCACTGAGACGGGTTCTGAGAGCCCTCTTTGCTCTCACTCTTCTCTGCTGGGCTGCACTCAGACTCCGTGACCAAGGACTTGCACCCATGAAGCGTGTGGGCATTCAGCATCTCCAGCAGCAGGTCGTAGACTGGGACCACGTTTTTGCACTTCATGCTGAGCAGGTGTTCCATGCCCTTGTTGCTATGGGGACAAAAAGGTGCTGAGATTCTGTCCTGTGATGCAGCCCCAGGAACTCAACGTAAGTCGCACACACACTCGGACACACGCACTTCCCTAAGCCCTTTGTTCTATGGCTCTTGCATCTGGCTCCTTCAATAATCTACACTCAAGGGCGAGGACAATGTCCTATGACCTCTGTGTCCCATCACCCACCCACACTGGCCTGGCAGTGCCTGGCACAGCGTGCAATCGATGCTCATTGTTCATGGTAGTCACTGCAGGCACTGGGTTGGCTGAACCATTGCTCCTGCGGGAAATGCAGGGTCAGGGTCCTGAGAGCCTTGGGAACACTATACAGCACTTTGGTACTATGCATGGAGGCCATTTGGGGACACTGGAATCTCCAACCACAAAAATGCAAACACAAGGCACTAAATAGGCCACATGAGGAACACTTGCTGCAGCGTGAGGAAGGCAGAGCATGACCTTGGTTGACCTCGGCTGGGGATGTAAGCACAGGCCACTCGAATGCTTTGCCACTCTGTGACTGTCCCCAAGTGATCACGAAAGTGCAGTGAGTAATCAATCGGGAGGTTACAAATAAAGTTTAGCAATCGGGCAAATTCAAATTCGCAAATACAGAAACCGGGATTACAACAGACTATTTGTTATGCAAATGATTGTGTGCAGAATGATCATTAAACAGAGGCAGAGGCTGTTCTCATTTCCTAACCCTTGTTAAAATTCTTGAGGGACATGTGTTCCTCCCCATGGCCCCTAGACTTTCTCCTTATCTCCCCTCTTCCAGCCCCAGGGCAAGCACCCTTATCCTGGGTGACACAAAGCCACCATGGGACATCCCACAGCACTATCGCAGCCCTGCCTTCCTAAGAACTGCGGACTCACCAGTTCTCTTAGGTCTCATCCTTATGTCCTGGTGCCATAAGGATGTCCTGGTGCCGCAAGGAGAGAACAGCTCTCAGGGAGGGCTTTGTGCACTTCCCCAGATCACAGATCTCAGGAGTTGCTCTAGGAAAGCTGGGTTTAACCTCTTTAAGGAAATGGCCTGGGAACTCCAGCCCTAGGTGGTGCAGGGATGGGTGGCAGGTCACTTTAAGGAAGAACCTGCCCCTTTTAGAACTCCATAAACAAGCTAAAATCCCCAGCAATTAAGAATTAGATGAGCCACCACAGGAGGCCACAAAGATCCTGTAAGGAGCCACGTGACAGCCATTCGGTGCCCACTATGTGCTGACCTTTGGCTACAGGTGTGTGCCCTGATGAAGAACCCCCATTCCCTTTCAGGGTTTCATCGTCCTTTAAAGGCCACAATTCTACCGTATCCACCTCAAACTTGAAAACCCTCTTCCCAAAGCTCTCCACCCTCTGAACATGTGCCCCCTTCCCCGCCACGTACCCGGGGGGGGGGGGGGGGGGCCCTTACGGATTGTACCTGGCGTGCCTGACGTGAGAAAGGAGCATCAGCAGGTTAGCCAGGCGGACGGACTGCTGCTGGGAAGGGATGCCGCTCTTGGCGATCACCCAGACCAGAGCGTCGGTCACAGCATTCAGCAAGTGAGTCAGCTTCCGGCTGCTCTCGGCCTCCTGAGCTGCTGCAGCAAAAGGGTACATACCTAGACAAAGAATCAAGGCCATGACTCATTGCTCTGCAAAAAGGAAACAGAAGTTGTGTGCTCAGGCATTAGGCATGCCAACATTCTCCTGACAGGAGGGCAATGATCAAACGGATTCTGACATCTGCATGAATAGTAGTATCCCAAGAGCCAGCCCCATGGCTGAATGGGAAAAGTAAGCCTGGCTGAATTTGGTCCAGAATTGTGGCCTTGCCTTGAAAACATATCAAACCATTATTTGGTGAATGTCATTTTCATGAACAAATACACATATAGAGATGGTCAGAAAGCCCTTGGAGAGATCTTCATTAAGGGGAGTTAATAAACATAAACTGCTGACCACTGCTACACAGCTTCTCCCACCCACCGCCTCGTGTGTGCCATGTGTAGACAGTCACAGTAGGCTCACCGCATGAGCACCCAACCTCTGGCGGCACCTTGCTGGGCAAAGGAAGACCATCAGTCTGGAGTCAACAGACCTACTTCATGTCCGCTGTCTGTAGCTCTCTGACCCAAGACCAGTTCCCAGCTCCTCCAACCTCACCTCATCATTGAGCAAAGCTTGCAGACATGTCTGCTGAGGTCTCCACAACCTTCCCACCAGGTGCCCTGTGTTCAATTCCCCTCTGACTCTAGGATCTGAGACTCTGTGGCCTCCCAAAAGTTGCAAAATAACAGCTCAGGTAGCTCTCCTTCCCTCCACCCCATCCCCAACCTCTGACTCCCTGATTCCTGGGAGCAGGAAAATAACCAGCTTCTCTTCCAGATTTTCAATTTCAAACTATAAATAGCAAATATATGAAACCAACAGGGGAAATGCCAATCTTTGACTGTAATGAGAATGAAGGATGGTTGGTACTCCATCACCCACCGAATCTGTTTTGGCAATTTTTGTTCTCTATTTTTATTGGCATTTTCAGTTCAATTAAGGCAAGGGACATACTGAACCAAATTATGCAAGTGTAGTGCTTCACCACATCCCTCCGGCACATCCCTCCATAATGTCTCATGATGCAGATTTAAAATATCCATCTTTTAAACTGCCCAGAACTGCTTCTCTAACCACCTGCTCACCTCCTTCTCCACAGGGACTGAGTCCTCCCACTGTCCCCCACAGCACGTAACCTGCCCTTCCACTACAGAGGAAACAAGCCCCAACCACAACCCCTTTGAATGGCCAAAATCAGATCTGCTCTCGGGGTTGAGGCCAACTGGGACAGTTCTCAAGGGCACCAGACTCTCCCTGCTCTTTTCATCCTCAGCTCCCACCACACCTCACCTTGAAACTTAACTTCAATTCCTTGAACAGGTGATGCCCCGAACATGCTAAACTTTCTGCTTAGGAACTCTCTTATCATCCTCCTCTCTCCCTACTCTTGTTATCTATATTCATTCCTCCTTCAGATCCCAGCTTGCTTGAACTTCCTTCTGGAAGCTTCCCCTGATCTGAAAGCTGGATGTCTTCACATATGCCCCACCCCCAAAGAAATTGGACATAAGCACTTCAAGAGCACAGACCCATCACCTAGTGCCATGACTGATGTGAAAGAAATGCTCATAAATGGAAGAATTAGAATGAATCCCATAGGTTCAAATTTTTGCAATTTTTAGCCAATCATGCCATCATAATTGAAATGATAAATATGCATGCTAAGGCATATTTTAGGTATACCATGGAAAATTATTAATCAAATGAAAATATGGAGAAATTGTTTTAAGCTTCCTTTCCTTAAAACTGACCCCAGCTTCAATGTCTGTTTCATACATTCTGTCAGTTTCTAAAATGTAAGGAGAGAAAGTGGACTCTGTCCTTGCTTATGCTTTTAATTTAATGTTACAAATAATCCAAAAGAAAAAAGCCTATGCCTCCAGATGTCTAAGATCTAGCATGGAAAAGACCCACCTCTCTGCTATCAGTGGAAACTTTCCAATAGAAACAGAATCCCACTTTCCAACAGCTGAACAGATTAAATTCATCTTGACAACTGTTACGACTACTACCAAACAAGAAAGGAACTTTCCTAAAGGAAGATTTCTTAAATTTGGATTTACCATAAACAAATGCTAGTCATTTACTGCCATGAGTGGTAATTACATCACATGCCTGCCTCACTCTCTGTAATTCTCTCAAATGTTGACAGTCTGTCAGATGCTGCCTGGACGCCATAGCCTTAGTCTCCCATTTGCACAGATGATGCTTTTAGCTTTCACAACAACACAATATGATGTCTCACAGGCTAGAAGGACCATAAGGAGCCTTGCCAAACAGAAGGCTTTCTACTGCAACGTGTTGTAACAACAAGGAAACTGCTTTCTAAGGAGCACTTTGCTGCACAGAAATGAGTTCTAAACAGCTTCTGAAGGTAAGAGAAGCCCCATACTGTGGCATTGGCTGTTCCCCCTGTGCCAACATGGGACTATGCTTCTCAAGCAAATCTTCCCTTTAACAAAGATAGAAGTAGCAGCACACGTCAGGTGATATCTGTAGGTGGGCTGAAAGAGACCAGTAAAAGTTTATTTTTTTTCCATGATCAATTCCCAATGTCCCAGCTGGACATTTCCTATAGGCACATCAACTTAATTGCTGATGTAAGCTGGGCCTTTGTATTGTTCTATAAAAGGTGAATGGTAACAGTAAATGTCAAGATGCCAGAAGCACCAAAGCGCTTACAAGTCTTCTTCACTTTCTCTACAGTTTTCATTGTCCAGTAATTTATCATTTCTACTCAAACTGCTTGCTTTCCAGAACTGAGGTCGGGAGTGTACCAGGTTCAAGGGGTATGCCCTGTCAGGCAGGTGAGGCCAGATTTACCCAAGGAGAAAACACCCAATAGTTGTCTTCAGGGCCTCTGTGCCTCACATGGCCTTCAGATTCCTTCTCTACTCGCTCTACTCTTTTCTTCTCTCCTCTCTTCTTCAAGACCTAACCCCACCCACCCCTGTCTAGTAATCTCCTCAACAGCATCTCATTCAGTTTTGGCTTCAGGAACTGCTGCTTTGGCTCCAATGAACAAAACAGAAACAGAGGCATGGTTACATGGGACAGACTGACAGCTGTCAGAAGGGAGGAGGGTTGTGGGGCTGGATGAAAGAAGGTGAAGGAATTATCCAAAAAACACATATACACAACACATAAACACAGGTAACAGTGTGGTGACGGCCCAAAGAAAAGGGGGGTGGGGACACGTGGAGGTGGCAAAGTGGGGATAAATGGGGGTAAAAGAGGCTTTGCTTTGGGCCATGGGTGCATGATGCCATGTGCAGATGATGTTTTGTTGAGTTGTACACTTGAAACCTGTATGGTTTTGTAAACCAATGTCACTCCAATAAAATCAATTAAATACATAAATAAATAAAATGAAGGCATGGACCACTGAAGGTAAAAATAAAGTGGCATAATATGATATCACAAATTCCTATTATTTCAAACATTAAAAACTAAGATTGGATAAAATCTAGGTAATAAAACCCCAAAGGAAGGGATCCGTAAGTCCTTAGTTGAGGATTAAAACTTGGACGTACATATTATTTGAGAAAGAAGAAATAATAACAAAAGGCCCTACAAGAGTAAATAGCTAAGCAAAGCAATCCATACCTGGTATAGCAGGTGGACCAAGTAAATACCAGGTAAACAGTAAACTGAACAGTATGAAAACGATATGCAAACTTAGAAAAGTGTGCAAAATAACACATCTCCATTGCAGCAATATTTATAACTAGAGGCCCGGTGCATGAAATTTGTGCACGGGGGGGGGGGGGAGGTCCCTCACCCCAGCCTGCACCCTCTCCAATCTGGGACCCCTTGGGGGATGTCCAACTGCCCATTTAGGCAGTCAGAAGTCCCTCTCACAAGCCGGGACTGCTGGCTCCCAACCGCTCACCTGCTTGCCTGCCTGATTGCCCCTAACTGCTTCTGCCTGCCAGCCTGATCACACCCTAACCACTCCCCTGTCAGCCTGATCAATGCCTAACTGCTCCCCCTGCAGGCTTGATCACCCCAACTGCCCCCCCTGCATGCCTGATCCCCCCAACTGCCCTCCCCTACAGGCCCGGTCACCCCTAACTGCCCTCCCCTGCCAGCCATCTTGTGGCGGCCATCTTTGACCACAAGGGGGCGACCATCATGTGCGAGGGTGTGACAGTCAATTTGCATATTCCCTCTTTATTATATAGGGTGGTAGAGAAAAAAGGAACTGTATATTAAGTAAAGGTTTATCAATAGAGAAGTGATTGAACAATTTAGACCAGCGGTTGCCAACCAGTGGTCCGCGGCACACTGGTGGTCTGTGAGGTCTGAAAGGTTGGCGACGGCTGATTTAGACAATGCCCTCACTGGAAAGATTAACTTAGCTCTCTCCTAGCTGACCTGAAGGGATTTCATAGCATTTTGAAAAGTAAAAAAGCAAGATATGAAGAACTATCTTATATAGTGTCCCAACTTTTTAATAATGAAAAGCCTACCTTTGTATATGTTAAAAGTGAGGTATTATTTTTTTTTTTTTTTTTTTAATCCTCACCCAAGGATATGTTTTTGTTTTGTTTTTTTCATTGATTCTAGAGAGGGAGGAAAAGCAAGGGGAGAGAGAAACAGAGAAACATCAATCAGTTGCCTCCTGTACACGCCCCAGCTGGGTATCGAACCCTCAACCTGTGTATGTGCCCTGACTGGGGACAATACCTCATAGCCCTGGACAGAGTGAGTGGTGGGACAACACTCTAACCACTAAGCACACCAGCCAGGCCTGTGAAGTATTATTTTATTTTATTTTTTTAAATATATATTTTATTGATATTTTACAGAGAGGAAGGGAGAGGGATAGAGAGTTAGAAACATCGATGAGAGAGAAACATCAATCAGCTGCCTCCTGCACACCCCCCACTGGAGATGTGCCTGCAACCAAGGTACATGCCCTTGACCGGAATCGAACCTGGGACCTTTAAGTCCGCAGGCCAATGCTCTATCCACTGAGCCAAACTGGTTAGGGCTAAATTATTATTAAAAGATGGGAAGTCAAAAGAAAAAAAAAAAAAAAAAAAGATGGGAGAAGGTACAAAGTCAACACTATGGTTAAGATAACTATTTGGTGTTGGGGTAGAAAAGTCAAGCAAAGGCAATTATGGGTACTCTTTCAAAGTACCCATAATTTTTTACATAAGATGTTATGCTGTTTATGTAAAACTAGAGGCCCAGTGCATGAATTCATGCACGGGTGGGGTCCCTCGGCCTGGCCAGCAATCAAGGCAGGCCGGCCAGGGGGAGGGACTGCGGGAGGTGGGCCGGCTGCAGGAGGTTGGCTGTGGGAGTGCACTGACCACCAGGGAGCAGCTCCTGCATTGAGCATCTGCCCCTTGGTGCTCAGTGCACATCATAGCTACCGTCCTGTCGTCCAGTCATAATAGTCGTTTAGGCTTTTATATATATAGACTGGAGGCCTGGAGGCCCGGTGCAAGAAATTCGTGCAAGAGTAGGCCTTCCATAGCCCAGCTGCCCACACTGGCTTCCCTCTGGTACCTGGGACCCGGGTTTTCCTCCGGCTGCTGGCAGACACCCAGGGCCCAGGCTTCCCTCCAGCCACCGGCAGGCACCCGGGAACCAGGCTTTCCTCCAGCTGCCAGCAGGCACCTGGGACCTGGGCTTCCCTCGCAGTCCCGGCTTCATCTGGATGGTCGTCCAAAAGGACGTCCAGTCTAATTATAATATTACGCTTTTAGTATTATAGATTATGTATATAAGTATGTACATATATTTCTTTATATATATATCATCTATAATACTAAAAGCACAATATGCTAATTAGACCAGACGTCCCTCCAGACTAAGCTGGGGCTGCAGCCACGGGATCAAGGCAGCCACAGTGGCTATGAGGGAGGGATCCAGATCCAGGCAGCTGCCCATGGCTGCGAGGGAGGGATCCAGGCAGCCACCCATGGCTGTGAATTCGTGCATTGGGCATCTAGTTATTATATATTTCTCTCTCTCTCTCTCTCTCTCTCTCTCTCTCTCTCTCTCTCTCTCTATATATATATATATATATATATATAGCTCTATCTGTCAATAGATCAATAGAGCTGTTAAAGAATGGTCACCAAAGTTATGGTGGTTTACTTGTGGAAGGATTCCTAGTAATTTTGGTTTTCTTCCTTATGTTTTGCTTTTGTTAGAATGTTTACAATAACCGGATATTATTTACATAAGAAAAAAAAAAACAGCAAAGCTACAACATAATCATATCTTAGATAAGACCTCCCTCCCTAACCCTATATTCCCACCTCTAACCTTATATTTCCCTCAAGGCAGGCCCCTTCCTTCCTGGCCCCTCCACACCACGTTAGTTTAGGCTCTCGTCACTCTCAACTCTGACTGGGCACCATGCCTCGGTCTCCCCCATCTCTAGTCAGTCCTCCACGTGGAAGCCAGGGTAACATTTCAAGAAGGCCCAGTCCATGACACTCCCATCTGAACCTCTTCCAGGGCTGCTCAATGCCCCAGGTGGCAGTTCCCAGCCCAAGGCAGGCAGTGAATCTTCGGCCATGCATTGTACAGCCCTGTCCACCTCCCTCTGCTCTGCCACTGCGGGACTTGCAGCTCCTGGCTCACCCAGGTCCTTTCATTCCTCCACACTTATTTCTTCCACCTGCCCATCCCTAAAGACTCAGGCACTCCAACATCTCTCGTTTTCCTGTAGTCCTCTGTACATGCTTTATTATAGCACTCCCTCCACCATGAGCTACTTAAAGGCAGGACTATATTTATAATGTCTTTACTGAGTGAACCAATGAATGAAAAAATGAATCTGTAAAAGCAGAACTCAAAACAGAAAATACAAGTATATGTCAACCATTTACAGTGTCTGCATAAATATTGAAAAAGGCTGAACGGTAAACATTTTAAAGTTCATTTTTCTCTTTTCCAGCAAAGTGGCTTGAGCCACTTTTTAAATTAATACTGGTAATTTGCCCAATGAACAATTTATATTCAAGTTAACTACAGTTTAAATTCCTAACAGAGAAGTCAGAAAGAAAGCCATTTTCCCCTTTTTAAATAAAATAAGTTCAATACTATTCTAGAAATAGCATTCCTCACCACCACCATCCACCTCCCCCCCCCCCCCCCCCCCCGCCCCGTTCCCCTTCCCAATAAAACACGGCCCAGCTGTGGGTTACTCACTGGAGTTCAGGAGGATCATGGCCTTGACACAGAGATACTCGTTGTGTTGGAGTTTTAACTCACGAAACCTTGAAGTCGTTGCCAGGAGCATGTCAAAGATTTCCAGAATTCCTTCCACACATTTCCCTTCATCCCTACAATAGTTCATTTGGAAATTTAAGAAAATCATAGCCACCAACAAAGGCAATAAGGAGTATTTTCTTTTTAAACTTAAATTTCATTTTGTACATGCTTTAACTATAACAAAGTGGCGATGAGACCACACCCAGAGATATGAAATAATCAGAATTATCTTCTTATAAAGAGAACAGGGCATTTCCTATAAATACCTAAATTAAACACTTGAATAAATACTATTTAGGTAAAAGCCTGCATTGGAACTACATTTTGTTTCTACCTGTTCATAAATGTTATCTTAAAGGAATAACATTTTTGTTGGTAATCTAAGCCATGTCAGCCAACCAGCCTGTGACATGACACATACTACTGAAGTGAGACATTCCATGGCCCCATGAGATGGCTCTAAAGCAGCCGTGGGCAAACTACGGCCCGCGGGCCGGATCCGGCCCGTTTGAAATGAATAAAACTAAAAAAAAAAAAAAGACCGTACCCTTTTATGTAATGATGTTTACTTTGAATTTATATTAGTTCACACAAACACTCCATCCATGCTTTTGTTCCGGCCCTCTGGTCCAGTTTAAGAACCCATTGTGGCCCTCAAGTCAAAAAGTTTGCCCACCCCTGCTCTAAAGTGTTCATGAGGAAGACTGACCATTACAGAAGCTAATATCCCAAGACGAAATAACCCTTCATATCTAGGGTTTAACTCTCATTTCCTGGTGGTCATTTAGAAACTGGAGGGGCAACTAAGAGACGTGTAAATGTAATTTGAAAAAAGTTAGCATGACATACAAAGAAATCACAATTAGAGAAGATAGATTAGAATTAGAAAAGGCAGAGATGGAGATATGGAAATGTCTGACTTGCCAAAGATTATTTTTAAGCAACAGATTTAGATAAACTTTGAAACATGAAGTCAAAATTCTTTTCAGCACTCCTTAAAGAAATGATTCTTTAAGTATACATTTGAAATAAATTACTTTAAAATATCAGACAGAAAATACCAGCTTCAACTAACTCCCACCAGACACTTATTATTCTGCCTCACTGCTCCCCAAAAATGTCTATCATCATTTGCCTTAAGAGTTATTGGAAGTCCTTGGTAAGCAGTTGGATGATTGTGCTACAAAACTTTCACTTGCTTCTAAAAGCCCGTGGCAAACAGTGAAGGGCAGCCATGGGTTTCTTTGAGTTTCATTTTCTGTCTCTGTGGCAGCCCTGGGGAGATTTGAGATCTTCAAAGAACTGGCTATTCCCCTCTTCCTTCCCCCAGCCCCAAGCCAGGCCATTTACGGGAATGGTGGTGGTTGAGGAAGGGCCTCTGTAGAATTCAAATAAACAGACACCAGCGGGTACTGCCAAACCTGGGGAAGCCCTTCCCAGACAGTGCTATGCTAGGACAGCAGCTCACCAGGACCCTGCAATCCACAGCATTCGAAACCTCATACCCCAAGACACACCTACGCAAAGCTACAAGCATGCAAACTAGTCACTTTGGCAAGCAAGCATGGCAACTTCTGCAACCAGCTGAGACTTTCTGAAAGTGCACTCATCTATATCCTATATAATAAAAGGGGAATATGCAAATTGACCCTAACAGCAGAACGACTGGGAATGACTGGTCACTATGACACACATTGACCACCAGGGGGCAGACGCTCAATGCAGGAGCTGCCCCCGGGTGGTCAGTGCACTCCCACAGGGGGAGCTCTGCTCAGCCACAAGCCAGGCTGACGGCTGCCAGCACAGTGGTGGTGGCGGGAGCCTCTTCCGCCTTCTCAGCAGTGCTAAAAATGTCTGACTGCAGCTTAGGCCTGCTTCCCGCTGGCAAGTGGACATCCCCCAAGGGCTCCTGGGCTGCCAGAGGGATGTCTGACTGCCAGCTTAGGCCCGTTCCCCCCGGGAAGCGGGCCTAAGCCAGCAGGTGGACATCCCCTGAGGGGTCCCAGACTGCGAGAGGGCACAGGCTGGGCTGAGAGCGGTTCCCCCGCCCCGAGTGCACAAATTTTTGTGCACCAGGCCTCTAGTATATATTTAAAAGCCTAAGCGGCCGTTATAACCAGTTGACCGAATGACTGGTTACTATGACACACACTGACCACCAGGGGGAAGATGCTCAACACAGGAGCTGCCCCTGGTGGTTAGTGTGCTCCCACAGCCAACCTCCCACTGTCCCTCCCCCCGGCCAGCCAGCCTGGATCAGGACTGGGCAAGACATCCCTGATTGGCCCCGTTCGCCGGCCAGGCCAAGGGACCCCACAAATTCGTGCACCGGGCCTCTAGTTAAATAATGAAACCACCAGTGTCCTGAAGTCACTCATAAGGAAAGGCCACCTTGGAGAATCAGAGCCCTAACAAAGGGTGCTAAAATCTGTAGGAAACCCCTATCCCTCCTCACACCCTAGCCTACTGCTTCCCCTGCTCTGCACTTTCCCAGGCAGCCCGCTGCAAGCGTCCAGTAAGGACAACACATGTCCTGCACATAGCAGGGGCACAAGAAATACTTGTCCACTAATTACCCCTCATGCCACACTATCAAATCACTCTGCCTAGGGATAAGCAATACTGGAAATTATGATTATTGGGCTTGAGGATATCTTATACTGGGAAAAGCTGGTTTTAGAATATCTCTGGAGGCAAAAACAAATGAAAATCCACGAACTCCTGAATAATGGTTGCTTCTTTATTCTTCTGGGAAACTCAGTCACAGGTGAGTTTATGCACACACCAGCACACATGTGTGTGCATGCACACACACACGCTCACCACCAACCCTAAGTAGTATAAGGGGACTCATCGAAATCAACCCTATTTATAGAAGTTATCACCAATGCCTAAGAACAGGTCCATAAACATTGAAATTAGTACCCTTTCCTCATTAAAATGCATGCCATATTTAATGCAAATTCATATTTCAGAAATGAAGGAAGAGTTTACATCTTAGAGCATAAGCTTTGACAAATGCTGTAACTAACAATAATCAGAACATGTGTACCTCATGGAGAAGGTGAATTTCTAAGCCAGCTCTGAAGAGCTAAGTCTGATTGCTTTCTCTAGCAGGTGTGATAGCCAACCATTTCATTCACGGAGTGGCAAAGTTACAATACTTTATCTCACAGGCTGTAGAAAATAAATGAGCAATATAGGATCAATAAGGCACAATACCTCCTAAATGATACCCTAATAAAGTTACACATGGATAGAATTATGCAGAACAGAGTGAGGAAGGACTTTAACAAATTAGTGAGCTCTATATAATTGTAACTACGATTGATGGTGAACTATGTGTAAGAAATTAGGACAGGATTAAAATATTTGAATTCATGACAGAGGGTATATGAGTTGAATGCTAAAATGTTGAAACAATATGTCAATCAAACCAGTCTACTCATAGTAAATTACTGCACACCATTTGTCCATAAACTAGTTATAAGTTAAAAAGTAGTAGTTCCATGGAAGAAGACTTGACTTTGGGTAGTAAACACACAATACAATATGTAGATGATGAATTATAAAATTGTACACTTGAAACATATATAATCTTATTAACCAACATCACCCCAATAAATTCAATAAAAAAATTTTAAAGTAGCAGTTCCATATGGACTACCTTATTATTTGATAACCACATCCTTTTTATAAAAGAAAAATATTCTGTTTGATACCAAGGACAAAATGTTACATGAGTAAGCCTCACTTTGGGGCATACTATTTTGTGCCTACTTATATATCCACTGGCAGCATCCATGTGGCTGCAGACCTCAGTTTACCTCTGTGTGGATGGCAATGGGAAGAGGGGCTCAAGGCTTAGTGCATGGAAAGAACTTAAATATTGTACTCAAGTGAAAATGTGAGTACAAAAGGGAACTGAAAATTTAGAAGTGAAAATTCTGTTGGTACCTTGAAGAATATTTGGTACACAACTAATGTGGATGCAAACTCAGAGCATTCATAATTATGTGTATGATTCCACGAATCCCATAAACACTCATAAAGGGGTCCAAGCCCAGATCCAAACTCCTGACTTTTTAAATAACATTTAACATTAGACAGTTTTCTGTTTATGCTAAGGACACCAAGTGTCTTAGCATATATGATTTTTTTTTTAGCAAATAGAAGCTCACATTCTGTGGTAGATCTTCATCTGAATTTGTGATTCTAGCAGTTACTGAAAGAACTACCTTGTTAGAAATAAGCTGAGACAACCGGATTTTCCTCTCATCCTCAGTAGGTTCAAATTTTCTCTCTGCAGAAGCCTCAAGAAGTATAAAGGGAAGCAGAAATTATATACTCAGTCTCACAAATGGGTTAATTGTATTCACTGCTTATATGGTCATACCACCACTTGAAGGAACTCTGATAGGACAATTCACCAAAAGACAGTTATTTTAAGTAGTATGAAAATTATTTATTCACACTGTAAAAAAGATTCATAATAGAATGTCTTTATGGTGGATTTCATAATAGAATTTCCTTATGACTTTTTAAATAAGTAGCATTTTGAATATTTTTGAATAAGCAACTCCTCCAAAAATATACTCATTACACAAAAACATATTTTTCTCTATATAATAAATGCACTAAAAATCTTAGATTTGAAATTCTAGACTTTACAGAGTTAATATGTTAAAAACAATAACAGGAATGGCAACAAAAAATAACCATCCATAGGCACTCCAAAATACTGCCTGCTGAATGTCTGCATTTACAATTCCCAAGAACTCCTCTTCTATGGTCAAATAAACTAGATTTATGTTGTAAACAATACTTTCAAATATTTTTAAAGAGTATTGTGAGGCCCTGGCTGGTTTGGCTCAATGGATAGAGTGTCGGCCTATGGACCAAAGGATCCAGGTTCAATTCTGTTCAAGGGCATGTACCTAGGTTGCAGGCTCCTCCCTGGCTCAGACCCTGGTCAGGGCTCACGCAGGAGGCAACCAATCGATGTGTTTCTCTCACATCGATATTTCTGCCCTTCTCTCTCCCACTCTCTCTAAAAATCAATGGCAAATTAAAATACCAACAGCATATTTCACAGACCTAGAACAAACTCTCCAAAAATTCATCTAGAATAAAAAAAGACCACGAATAGCTGCAGCAATCCTGAGAAAGAAGAACAAAGTAGGTGGGATCTCAATACCAGATATCAAGCTGTATTACAAAGCCACTGTTCTCAAAACTGCTTGGTACTGGCACAAAAACAGACATATAGATCAATGAAATAGAATAGAGAGCCCAGAAATCGACCCAAACCAATATGCTCAATTAATATTTGACAAAGGAGGCAAGAGCATACAATGGAGTCAAGACAGTCTCTTCAATAAATGGTGTTGGGAAAATTGGATAGATACATGCAAAAAAATGAAACCAGACCACCAACTTACACCATACACAAAAATAAACTCAAAATGGATAAAAGACTTAAATGTAAGACAGGAAACCATAAAAATACTAGAGGAATCCAAAGGCAACAAAATCTCAGACATATGTCGAAGCAATTTCTTCACCAATACATCTCCTAGGGCATTGGAAACTAAAGAGAAAATAAACAAATGGGACTATATCAAAATAAAAAGCTTCTGCACAGCAAAAGAAACCATCAACAAAACAACAAGAAAGCCCACTGCATGGGAGAACATACTTGCCAATGATATCACCGATAAGTGTTTAATCTCCAACATTTATAGGGAACTCATACAACTTAACAAAAGGAAGATAAACAATCCAATCAAAAAATAGGCAAAGGACCTAAATAGACACATTTCAAAAGAGGACATTCAGAAAGCCAAGAGACATATGAAAACATGCTCAAAGTCACTAATCATCTGAGAAATGCAAATCAAAACAACAATGAGGTACCATCTCACACCTGTCAGAATGGCTATCATCAACAAATCAACAAACGACAAGTGCTGGAGAGGATGTGGAGAAAAAGGAACACTCGTGCAACTGCTGGTGGGAATGCAGACTGGTGCAGCCACTATGGAAGACAGTATGGAGTTTCCTCAAAAAGTTAAAAATGGAACTCCCATTTGACCCAGTGATCCCACTGCTAGGAATATATCCCAAGAAAACAGAAACACCAATCAGAAAGGATATATGCACCCCTATGTTCATAGCAGCACAATTTACCATAGCTAAGATCTGGAAACAGCCTAAGTGCCCATCAGCAGATGAATGGATTAGAAAACTGTGGTACATCTACACAATGGAATACTATGCTGCTGTAAAAAAGAAGGAATTCTTACCATTTGCAACAGCATGGATGGAACTGGAGAGCATTATGCTAAGTGAAATAAGCCAGTCAATGAAAGAAAAATACCACATGATCTCACTCATTTATGGATAATAAAGACCATTATAAACTGATGAGCAAAAATAGATATAGAGGCAGAACAGCATCAAACAGACTGTCAAACTACAGTGGGAAGGCTGGGGAGGGTTGGGGGGTGGGAAGATGGGGTAAGAGATCAACCGAAGGACTTGTATGCATGCATATAAGCATAACCAATGGACATAAGACACTGGGGGGTAGGGGAGCCCGGGGGAATGCCAAGGGGAGAAAAAAAAAAAGGAGACCTATGTAATACTATTTGTAATACTTTAAGCAATAAAAAAAAAGAAAAAGAAAAAAAAAATCAATGGCAAATATCTTCAGGTGAGGATTAAAAACAAAAGAGTAATGTGAGTCTGTTAAAATAGTATCTTTAAAAAATGACTTCTGGCGCCCCCATTCCCTGAAGCACGCCTGTGCCTTTTCTTTTCCCTTCCCTCTTCCCCCTCCCCTACGTTGCCCCCCTCCCCGCCACAAATGACTTCTTTGGGTTTTTTCTATTAACTAAAAGCTGCACTTAAAATTTATCTAGAATTTGTGTCAATTTATAGTAACTTATACACATACTTATAGAAGTTAAAGAGCCCATACAAAGAGGAGAGTGAATTGTACTAAAAACCAGGAATGAGCCAGTCATTGAAAATAAACACTAAGTATGGCATCAATTTAGAAATCAAGGCAAAAAATTAAAATGCCTTAATCCTAAATCTGAAAATTTATTGGTTCATCAAGGGACAGCACTTCCTCCAGCACTAACTTCTAGGAGAATTGTGTGTGTGTGTGTGTGTGTGTGTGTGTGTGTGTGTGTGTGTGTTTGAAGGGGGAAATGAATGTGACTTTAAACACCAAGTGGAACATAATGAATGAATGAATGAATGAATGAATGAATGAACAAACGAACAGGAGGGATGGCTTGATTGGCTGCTTAGCCTTTCAGCCTGCTTCACAACATGGTACCATGAAATGACAACAGGTATAGGTTTCTGAAGTGGGCAGGGAATAGAATAGAGTTGTTCTGAGACAAAAGTAGAAAGTTAGTTTGCCTTTCAGCCTCCTCCTCTTCCTCCTTCCAGTTCTCTATCCAACTGAGAGTCATGTACTGTTGTGGTTAAGAGCATGGATTTCACAGCCAAACCTTCAAGTCCAGCCCTACCATTTACTACTCTATAACTGTCAGAATTACCTAACCTCCCATTCTCATACCTGAAGGATAGAGATAATAATGGTGCTTACCCAGAAAGGGCTATTGTGAAGATGAGTGAACACATATCAAATGTGAAAGATGGTGCCTAGCCCTGGCTGGTTTGGCTTGGTGGATAGAATGTCAGCCTGGGGACTGAGGGGTCCCGGGTTCGATTCCAGTCAAGGGAGCATGCCTGGGTTGTGGGCTCGGTCCCCAGTGGGGGGCGTGCAGGAGGTAGCCGATCAATGACGTTTCAATCTCTCTCCCCGTCTTCCTTCCTCTCTGAAATCAATAAAAAATAAAAATAAAAGATGGGCCGTAGCCAGTTTGGCTCAGTGGATAGAGCATCGGCCTGAGGACTGAAAAGTCCCAGGTTCGATTCCGGTCAAGGGCAAGTACCTTGGTTGTGGGCACATCCCCAGTGAGGGGTGTGCAGGAGGCAGCTGATCAATGTTTTTCTCTCATCGATGTTTCTAACTCCCTATCCCTCTCCCTTCCTCTCTGTAAAAAATCAATAAAATATATTAAATTAAAAAAAAAAAGATGGTGCCTGGCACACACAAGCCAGTAAGTTAGCTAGTTTTATTGTTACTAGAGGGTCCTGCCTGTCCTAGGCTTTCAGAACCTCCCTCTGTGGTTTACCATCTGGGCTTGCTCCTGCTTCAGCCACATTCCCTATTCCAGCTCCTCCCAAAGGCTCTGTTCTCTACCCAAACACCTCTCATTACTTACAGTACCCTTTGCCAAAGGTGTCGTGCATGACCGGTAAAATGGGTGCTAACATCTTGGGGATACTTTTCATCTGCCTCACATGATGATCTAAAAAGGTAACACCAAGACCTGGGGCAGATATTTTCCATTCACAGCACTAGGTACCTTCTCCTCTGCAGAGTCAAATGTGACTGAACATTCAACACTGGAACTTTTTTGAAATGTGGAAGTTAATTGCCATGGAAATTTTCACATTACTCAGGTTTACACCAAGGAAGTATTCTATTTTACCTACTGAAATGCTTGAGTGTCGCCTAGTCCAGATTTCCTTCCATGAATAGTTCACCTAAGCTAGTGAGAAATTGGCTCCTTTTCTGTGCCATCTTTTAAAAAAACTAAATGCAATCAAGTTATAGCATTCCCCAATTTCTGTTAACTTTCATCTGGTTTTAATAACCATTCCTTGCCCTAACCCAATGATGGCAAACCTATGACACGCGTGTCAGAGGTGACACGCGAACTCATATTTTTTGGTTGATTTTTCTTTGTTAAATGGCATTTAAATATATAAAATAAATATCAAAAATATAAGTCTTTGTTTTACTATGGTTGCAAATATCAAAAAATTTCTATATGTGACACGGCACCAAAGTTAAGTTAGGGTTTTTCAAAATGCTGACACGCCGAGCTCAAAAGGTTCGCCATAACCAGTTTGGCTCAGTGGATAGAGCGTCGGCCTGTGGACTGAAGGGTCCCAGGTTCGATTCTGGTCAAGGGCATGTACCTTGGTTGCGGGCACATCCCAGTAGGAGGTGTGCAGGAGGCAGCTGATCGATGTTTCTCTCTCGTCGATGTTTCTAACTCTCTCTCTCTCTCCCTTCTTCTCTGTAAAATCAATAAAACATATTTTAAAAAAATAATAACCATTCCTTCCACTGCTTTTGCCAAAAATACTATATAGTATAAGAAATTAGAATGAGTTAAAGAATGTTACAATGAACCTGGCAGATTGTAAGAATTTTATCACCTATCCAGATAGCTGGCAATGTAATTGGTCCTGACGGGTGGAAAGAACCGCATGACAACTTAAAATTATAACCTGAAAATGGAACTTTTAAACAGAAAAATCTGAATTGATTTATCTACACTTGGTGGCCACATACCCTGCAGAACACAGGCCGCCCATTATGGCTGCCACACTAAGAATGAGTCATAGGACACTGAATCTTTGTACCCATTCTCTCCTTTTCTGGTTCTTGACCCAATGAAGGAGCTCATGACATTATAAACCTCTTAATTGCCCTTCGAGGTGAGAGATTTTAATTGCAGCCCCAGGACGCCATGCTTCACTCAAGGCAGAAAAGAAACACAGTGCATTTTTTCTCACCTGTCCAGAACAAGGTCTGGAGCAAAGATGAGCTTGCCAGGGTGGTCGAGGGAGCGCCACATCAGCCCCACCATTAGCACCTCCATCCAGCAGTTCTCCAAGAGCCGCACTTGGTCGTACAGGCTGAGCTCCACAAAGCCTGGGGAAAGCGAGAGGCTGTGAGACACATCCGCCCTCCTCCGCAGCTCCCCGTTTGTCTAGGAACAGAAGAGCGACTTTTCAAAAGCTTTGAAAACACAAATATAGGAGAAACTAAGATGGCGGCATAGGTAAACACCGGGAAATTGTCGCCTCACACAACAATTGAAAATTACCGCAAAGGACAGAGCAAACATCATCCAGAACAACAGAAAGGCTGGCTGAGTGTAAATTCTACAACTAGAAGGAAAGAAAAGCACGCTGAGAGCCAGAGGCGCTGCGGAGGTGAAGTGCAGAGGTACGGCGGCTCGCGCGCGCGAGGAAAGGGGGTGGCACCTGAGGACGCGGCTGTCTTTTTGAATCACAAGCTCCCGACTGCTCTGAACTCCGGTTCCGGGAAGTCTCTGGGGACCCAGGACTCATACGGGGAGAAGCTGGTCTGTCCGGCAGCGGGCGAACTTGAAGGCGGCTTTCCCTCAGAGGTGCTTGCAGCAATAAGCGGGTCGCTGAGACCCGCGACTCCGGGCGGAGAATCAGCCATAGCTCCTTGATCCGCCCTTTGATTCCCTGAGACCCCGCCCCACCCAGGCTGCGGCAGAGGCTTTTGCATGTGAATGTACCTAACTGCAGCCGAGCCAGGCAGACCCGGAACTTCCAAGAGAAGGCCCAAGGCCCCGCAGCAGCTTGCATTGCTTCACAGCTGAGCCTCTTCGTGGCTCCTGCTGTGTGGCCTCAGGCAGAGGCTGAATTAGCACCTCCTTAGATCCAGGAGCCACTGTACCCAGTGGTCAGAGGGGGACCATCCAGACTGCAACTCCTCAGATCCATAAGGGACACACTCAGGGAGCAGACTCAGTGAGCACCAAAGCCCCACTGAAGCAAGTCTTGCCCCAGAAGGGTGTCTTCAGCACAGAAGTTCTCCCACTTTAGACACAGCTGATTCTCACAGCCAATTGGCCTGGAGGTCAATTCCTCCCAGTGATTCTACAACAACCAAGGCACCAAGAGTGCACCAAGAGTGTCCACCCCAGGTAACTGGGGAGGCTGAGCTACTGGGCCCTACAGGACACCTGGCGCGCAGGGCCACTCTATCAACACAGGGAAGCTGCCAAAATGCGGAGACAAAGAAACAGGTCACAAATGGCAGAAATGGAGGAAAGCCAACGATTGGATATAGAGTTCAAGGCCACGTTTATAAGGTTTTTCAAGAATTTTATGGAAACCACCGATAAATTTAATGAATCCCTCAATAAGTATAGTGAGACCATGGAGTACATGAAAAAGGACCAACTAGAAATTAAGCATACACTGACTGAAATAAAGAATAATTTACAGAGATCCAGCAGCAGACAAGAGGATCCCAAGAATCAAGTCAAAGATTTGAAATACAAAGAAACAAAAAATACCCAACCGAAAAAGAAAAGAGATTCCAAAAATATGAAGATAGTGTAAGGAACCTCTGGGACAACTTCAAGCAACATCAGAATTATAGGGGTACCAGAAGGAGAGAGAGGGCAAGATATTGAAAACCTTTTTGAAGAAATAATGACAGAAAACTTCCCCTACCTGGTGAAAGAAATGGACTTACAAGTCCAGGAAGCGCAGAGAACCCCAAACAAAAGGAATCCAAAGAGGACCACACCAAGACACATCATAATTAAAATGCCAAGAGCAAAAGATAAAGAGAGAATCTTAAAAGCAGCAAGAGAAAGACAGTCAGTTACCTACAAGGGAGTACCCATACGACTGTCAGCTGATTTCTCAACAGAAACCATGCAGGCCAGAAGAGAGTGGCAGGAAATATTCAAAGTGATGAATAGCAAGAACCTGCAACCAAGATTACTTTATCCAGCAAAGCTATCATTCAGAATAGAAGGTCAGATAAAGAGCTTCACGGATAAGAAAAAGCTAAAGGAGTTCATCACCACCAAACCAGCATTATATGAAATGCTGAAAGGTATTCTTTAAGAAGAGGAAGAAGAAAAAGGAACTCTTACCATTTGCCACAGCATGGATGGAACTGGAGAGCGGATAAATACCACATGATCTCACTCATTTGTGGAATATAATGAACAACATAAACTGATGAACAAGGACTGATCCAGAGACGGAGAGGCATTGATTGGACTGTCGGGACTTGGAGGGAAGGTAGGGGAGGGTGGGGGTAAGGGGGAAAGATCAACCAAAGGACTTATATGCAAGCATATAGGCCTAATCAATGGACATGGACAACGGGGGGGTGAGGGCATGAGCGGGGGGGGGGTGGGGGGGGTAGAGGGTAACGTGGGGACAAGGACACATATGTAATATCTTAATCAATAAAAAATATATTAAAAAAAAAGAAAACACAAATATAAGGATCTATATTTTATTTTATTTTTTTTTAAATATATTTTATTGATTTTTCACAGAGAGGAAGGGAGAGAGATAGAGAGTTAGAAACATCGATGAGAGAGGAACATCGATCAGCTGCCTCCTGCACATCTCCCACTGGGGGATGTGCCCGCAACCCAGGTACATGCCCCTGACCGAAATCGAACCCGGGACCCTTCAGTCCGCAAGCCGACGCTCCATCCACTGAGCCAAACCGGTTTCGGCTAAGGATCTATATTTTAAAGATGTGGTTAAATGTTGACCTAAGAAAGAAAGTTTTGAACTTAAGGTGTGCGACTCACAATTTTCAGTCCTGAACCCCTTCTAGGAATACATATACTTCATTTAGCATTTATAAAGGACCGTTATCTGGGCGTATACAGCTCCGCAGACAGATGCTAGTAAAGAACAGGAAGCTGGGACCAATCTTTGTTGGTTATATCCCAATAATTGCCCTGCACTGCTGAGAAAGATAACTCGGGCTGCCAGCCAGAGGGGCTGCCTGTCTGGCCCCGTCCATGACTGCGGCTGGGGGGAGTGAGGGACATGCAAAGAGAGCAGGGCCAGCCCCTGTAGAAAGTCAAGGCTTCGACTGAAAGAATTTTCCCGATTGCTTAAGATTTCCCATCCAATGTTAGAATCACACTTCTCTGCGTAGGAGCGCTGACCGAGGCTATTCTATCCTGAAGAGCAAACACAAAAACTTACAACCACTGACGTGGGCCCGACAGCCTGATGGCCTAATGGCACGCATTAGTCAAAGAGCTGGAAAGTAAACAGGTAATCTCTAGGGAGATGAGCACTTCCAAAGTAAAGCAGAGCTCGCTGATGCTTTCTCCACCAGCCATGATAAAAGGAGCCGGCAGTGTAACATAAAGACAGTCACCAAACCTACGGCCTCGGCGTGCAATGGGCTCCAGTTAAAAATCCCAGCTCGGCCTCTCCCTGGCTAGTTACTTAATCTCCTTTTAAGTCTTTGTTTTCTTATAAGCCCAGTAGGGTAGCAATGCCTGCCTCTGAGAATTCCCTACAGGTACAATCTCATCATCCTCACTTTACAGATGAGGAAACTGTGGCACAGGGAGCACCTGTGGTTCAAATCCTTGACAATTACAATGCAAATCTTCACACAGAAGAATGAATGGAGTAAGGAATGGAAAGATGGACAAATCCTTTCCAAAGCCACATTCTAACCTCAATTCAGGTTCCTATGATGTGTACACATTCCGATCTCACCCACAGTTATAGACAATAAGCCTACCAAGGGAGGCCAAGCTTTTTATACTTGTAGATATTCAACAAGATCAAGGGTAGGTGATATATTTTTTGGTTTGGACAATGACTATATCAGCTGAGAAGTCAGGGGAGGTAGGGATCACACCTTCAGACTATGCCTAAGTTTTCTGAAAACTTTTCAAAATACCAGGCTTGAAGAGGGCCTGATGCAGCGTTAGAGTTAGGTTATGGCACAACCTAACTTTATTATGGCACAAAGAAGCTGCACGAGTCTCAGCAATAATTAATTTCACCACTGCTCTCTACTTGGGGTTCTGAGAAATAGTGTTTGGAAAACATATAGAGCAAAAGCTAGAGGAAAGTGCATCAGTATTGTCTCCTATGGGAAAGAGAAGAGAAAATACTATAATTCTGGCAAAGGTGATGCTAGACTATCGAAACAGAACTGGAAACCAGAAAATCCTCAGGGAACTCAAAAGCCAAGAAATGACCCCAAGAGATACTATTACCCTAGGCCTGGGTCCCACAGCTCTTTACCCCCAACTGCTCTTCACCAGCTTTTTAACACTTCCAGTCTTTCCAGTTGGCCCAATGTGGGTGCGGCCCCCAAGGCCATGGGAATTGTCCCTAGTTGCTTAAAACTTGGAGAGAGAACTCATTTTTAGACGTCTGTAAAGATGTGCAAGGAGAAGCCCTTTCGGAGGGTGATGGGTTGCTGCCAGTCTAGTTTAGCCCAGCCGTGGGCAAACTACGGTCCGCGGGCCGGATTTGGCCCGTTTGAAATGAATAAAACTAAAAAAAAAAAAAAAAGACCGTACCCTTTTATGCAATGGTGTTTACTTTGAATTTATATTAGTTCACACAAACTCTCCATCCATGCTTTTGTTCCGGCCCTCCGGTCCAGTTTAAGAACCCATTGTGGCCCTCGAGTCAAAAAGTTTGCCCACCCCTGATCCTAGATTCATTCTCAAAAAAAACACCAAGTCAAATAATAATTAGGTGGTAGTTTTAGTACAATGCAGTACTGCAGGTATGTAGTACCGAAGGCCTAAGGAAGAGATCACATTTCAGGCTGGAAAATACAGGCTCCAAGTGACCACTGTGAATCATCAAACCCATTTTTAACTTGATGGTATTTCAGGTTTACTGATGATTCACATTATTTCAGCTGCAGATTTACTCTCTTTGTCCATATATATTTATTCATTTACATACTACTAATTCTTTCTCTGCTGGAACAATAGCTTACAAATTCCGGCTAGGCATCTGACAAACCTTTTACTTGCACAATGGTCATACTGCACCCACTCCACCTCACCTGCCTACACCCTCCTCTCAATGTGAGGAGTCCACAGCCAGGAGACTGGTCAGTGTGGAGCCCAGATCCCTTCCTTTTAGACCATGTTCCAGGTCCCAAAGCCCTCAAATTTCCTGCCCAAATGGCCCCAAGCCAATTTCCAGAGTCTGACAGGTCTCTGTCCTGGTCTATTCTCCCAGACAAGGCATGAGAGGTGACCAAAGGCTAGTGTCCATAGGACAGGTGGACATGCAGGGTTGGGTATGCACATGGCTAGGTGCGATGCAGCTGGGGATGGGTAAAAAAGAGCTGGGAATAGAATAGAAGGGGCCCTCCATACACAAGCCTTTCTGCTCTGCCATGTCTGGTACAGAACCCAGAGGAGCCCAAGAATTCTAAATTGGAACCTGGCCACCCAGGCCATGTTGAAGGTGAAAATGTCGAGCTAGGAAGAAAGAACCTATTTCATTTACAGGTTGTAAATCAAGCTGTCAAACTGTTAAACACAGAGACATCTTTTGTGGACCTCCATTTTGTACTCTTGCCCTGTAAATGTTAGGGGCAGGCCTTTCTACAAACACACAGAAAGCCAAGACCCAGAGAGCCCTACCCGGAATTTTCTTGGCCCAGCCGATCATGTGCACCAGTTCCTTGTCGGCCAGCTTGGTCAGGGACATCATCATGGAGGCCTCGGTGAAGGGCGCGCTGGGGCGGCTCACCAGCACCTTGGGCGGCTCCGCCTCCAGGAGTGTGAGCACCAGTTGTTCCGGGCTCAGGGCGCTCCACAGTAGCTCCTTCACTCGGCTCACATGTCCGTTTCTCTTGGCTTTGTTCAGACAGTGCAGCTGCTCATCGGGACTTCTCTGCCTCCGTACTATGCGGTACCCACACCGTTCCCTCCGGGAGCCTAGAGTGGAGAGCAGATAACAGTGCTTTCCCCTGTCCCTCCCCCAACCCAGCATTCAAGTTCCCCGAGTAGCCAGGGTAAAAATGAGTCAATAACATCATTGTAAGACCAGAGTCCATTCTCAGAATGTGTCTTAGAACAGAAGCCCGACTTATTTTCTGGAGCCTGCAGGGCATGTACCAAAGATTATTATATTTGTGACTGTATTAGCAAAATCAGGAACATGAATTTCTAGGGACAATAGACCAGAAGATCTTCAGGTCTCCATTTCAAGGTAATCTACGGATACTAAATCTGTTTCCCTTTTAAAGAGTGATGACATATCTCAGTTGCCAAACCATGAAATTAGGAATTTTCTTCAAGCAGAAGATGGGGAAAAGTTAGGAAATGAGCATTGATGTTTCCAAACAGTTATCAAACAATACACTTTTATAATACATTCTTAAAATGTTTGCATGCATGTCTTTGTGTATCTATATGTATGTGTATATATTCTTTTCAGGCACACAAAAAAGTATATTTCAAATAATAAATTAATTTTAAAAAATCTGGAAAATATAGAAGAGCACAAATTTTGGCATGTTCTTTTAATGCTTTTTTTACTTTTCCATATTTTAATATATAAAATGATAATCATAATGTATATACTATGATAATCATAATGTATATACTATTATATAACCTGCTTTTTATAATAAAAGATAATTCAAAACTCATATATATCAAAGCAACAAAACCTAGTCTACAAATATAACACCAAAAAGTGATTGAAAGAAAAATAGAAATTGACAAATACACTAATATTATAATGAAATATTTTAATATATCTTTCTCAGCACTGACAGAGAGAAATATAGGAGAAAATGTTCAGAAATCAGCTCAATGAACAAAGTTGATCTATAAAAACTCACGGACATTTGCAAAAATTATCACATACTATGTCATGAATAAAATCTTAACTAAAAATGTTCTCATATAGAGCATATTCTCTGACTACAATATAACAAAAATAGAAATTAACAATAAAAATATAACTTCCAAACCCCTACAAATTTGAACACAAAAGTTATTTCTAAAGATCCATTGATTACAGACCAATGTGAATTAAAATTAAGGAAGATATAAGTCTGAATGTCATTAGCATGGGTACAATTTTATATGAATTTTCACTCAAAAAAAAAAATCTAAAAGTTCAAATCTGCAAAATGTCTAGTTTCTGTATTACCAATATATTTATTCACTAAATTCAATTGTCCACATTTTTTAAAAATTTGTTAATTAGAAAATATGAGAAAATTTTAATTACTTGCTCCCAAGAACATTTATCTGAATTTCCTCTTATCCTTGGCTAGTTGCAGTAGAAGGAAGGACTCCATCCATTTAGAGATATTTGAATCAAACCTATTACTAAAAGAATTACTAGTAAAAGCCTAAAACATACTCATTTTATTAGTAATCAGATAGAGTGCTACAGACAGTTAAGATCAATTAATAACCCCATGGTAAAATGGAACAAAATGTTTGGTTTAAGAAAGTACCTTTCTGATCACACATTTCTTTTTTGTAGAGTATATGAGGATAAGGAGTTTACATATAAAGAGAAAGGTTTTGAATCCATACATTCAAATTTATTTGACCAACTTTTAATGATAAAGCACTTTTATACCAGGCCCTGTACTAAGTTTGTCTACCCTCCCCCTAAACCCTCTACTCACAATCTTCCTTCTATCCAGTCTTAGGGGATTAGGGATCCTATACGAATTCTGGATTCTCCTGCACCATTCCACTTCCCTTTTTTATCCAGAAGTCATGTCTCTTCTGTTACCATCAAGCTGTCAAACTGTTAAACACAGAGACATCTTTTGTGGACCTCCATTTTGTACTCTTGCCCTGTAAATGTTAGGGGCAGGCCTTTCTACAAACACACAGAAAGCCTTTGACAAGGAACTCACATTTTTCTACCAAGGACATTTCTAGTGTCCTGATGATGACACTCTAATCTTGGCAGAGTCTATGAGCCTGTGAGTGAACCTAATGAGAAACCACCAAATGGTAGTGATCATCTACTGTAAGCTTCTATGCTGTTTATAGTACATAGATTATCTCATTCTGCCAACCGCCCTAGAGGACAGGTGCTGCTACTATCTCCAACGTATAAAGGAATAACCAGGCACAGGAGATTGCAAATCACTTGCCCAAGATAGAAAAGCTAGAAAATAGCAGAAGCAGGATCTAAACCCAATCAGTAGTCTAAATCCTGAGCTGGCGCTTTAAATCACTCATTTATATCACCTCTCTAACAAATTTCTTTCACATATATTTCACCTGTATACCTGAAAAGATGTCTGAGAGATGCTGAGCTCTTGTCCCAACACAGATCAAGTACATGGCTATTCAGACTGTTTCCCCATTTACATTTCAGTGTATCCTTCCAGTGAAGCTAATCTGAAGTTAGTCTGATGCGTGTCCTCCTGCCATTTAGACAACTATAGCAATACCTCAAAAGAAAAGAGAGAATTGGAAATGCAGAAGAAAAAAAATGGTAACAGAAGAGACATGACTTCTGGATAAAAAAGGGAAGTGGAATGGTGCAGGAGAATCCAGAATTCGTATAGGATCCCTAATCCCCTAAGACAGGATAGAAGGAAGATTGTGAGTAGAGGGTTTAGGGGGAGGGTAGACAAGAAAAGTGCTGGGAAAGTAGAGAGGCGTCGTTCAGAAAAGTCATTCCTAATTGTCCTTCTCAGGGGTCAGTAAAGGGCCAAATATCCAACTGTTTGTACATTAACCCATCTCATTTCTTCTGTAATCTCCAACGATATTTTTTCTTAGAAATCCCCTACCCAGTGACTTTCTGGCCAAATTCAATTCTCTTTTTTCTCATTCTCTTTTTCATGAAAGTTTCTAATTACGTACATCTCTATACTTTGCGTCATGAGTCTGTACTGTATCAAACTCACAACTGTATGAGATTTTCAATTGGGGTTGAGGGAAAGGAACACTAAAATTTAGTGCCAGACTCTGTGTTTTCATACCTATTCCTCACAAAACTCAAATAAGCAGGTATCTCTATTTCAGAGATAAGAAAACTGAGGGTCAGAAAGGTCAAGTCGTTTGAGCACAGTCAGAGCCGTAAGTGATGAGACCAAAAAAAATGAGATTCAGTCTAAAGCAGTCCAGTCCTCCTATTCTTCCCTCCACATACACTGCCCCCTACAGGTGGAGTGTACATGTGCAGCTGCCCTGGTCCTGAACTTTATCAGGCTACAGCCATCCAACAGATCCTAGTATATAATAGATCCTATGACTAAATTGTAAATCATGTTTTTAAAAATATACGCTTACATTAAATATTGTTAACTTAAACCATGAAATATTTATTTTCAATCTTTTTTCAGAAAGCAAGGCTTTCTCTTTAAGCACCTCTGCCAATTAAATCACATTATTTTCCTGCATAAGCCATACCCATGATACACTGACACTGAATTTTCAGTTTCAGCTTCTTTTAAACAGAGTAAAACCTAGGCACTCATAAAGCAATCTGAATTCAGAATCCTTATAGGCTTGTAACTTCCCCCTCAATCTCACTCATACTTACCTAACACAATCACTATCCATCCTATAATTTATAGTTTTATCCAAAGCTTTCACAGAAACAACTGTTTTCCCACTCATATTTCATATGCTTGCACAAACTTTCGTTAGATTATAGAACTTAACAATTACAATGAGTAGAAACAGGGTTGGGAAGAAGCCCAATGGTTACTGACAAGGATATAACTGAAGTGGCGGGAGCAGAAACATTCGAGTGTTTAGAGAGTAAGCAATACGCATGGGCTTTGAGAGGGTGTTTCACAGAGGAAACGGGAAACATCGGTGCTTCTGGGAAGCCGGAGAACCGTGCTTAAATTAAGAAAGCTTCTGCTGTAATTCTGAACTGGGTGAGGGGTCTTATCTATTGTTCATATGAAGAAAAACAGGACAGAGAATGTTAAAGAGACAAAGTTGCTAAAAGACTTTCAGCTAGGAAAAAGAGAGATTCGTTTTAAAACTTTTACATAGTTACAAAGAGAGAAATTACAGCTAACCACAGGGAAAAGTTTGGCTAGCAGAAGAGTAACAAAAGTACAGGCAGAGCTGTATGAGTGTATAGAAACAAACAAGTGTGTACAGACAAGTGAATCAAAAGGTAGCCAGGTGGAAAGAACAGGATGCAGGCATTACTGTGAGCTGTTATACTAATGTGCTCATTTTCTCTCGTGTGTTTTTTCACTAGTCAATAAAGGAATAAAGAAATTTTCATGTATGTATATATGTATACGTGTGTCTGTATGTGTGTGTGTGTGTGTGTGCATGCAGATATATATATTTACACAGGTATATGCACACATATATACTGTCATAGAACAAAATTTATGCTTTATGTACTTTCCATAGTTCCATCGTATTTCTGACTCCTATGCATTTCTTCCCCACTGCTAGAATGCTATTGGAGGGACAGGCATGAACCTATCTATGCCATCCAAGTAACACAAAATATGCTACTTTCTTGTCAGCTTTAACGTGAGCATTTACCAGACTTCCATCCTTAGACTTTTCAAGGCCTCAGGTAGATGGTCATCTGGCCCCTGTGTGAGCACTTCAGTGGCTCGAGTTCCCTAATCCATGTGGCAGCCTATTCTGTTGTTAGACCACTTGAATCACAGAAAGTTCTTCCCTATATTAGGCCAAAATCTGCCTCCTGTAACTTGCTCCCACTCACTCCAGCTCTATCTTCTGCAGGTACAAGGCATAAGTCAACGCCGCCTCCAATGTGACAGCATACAAACACTTGAAGATAATTAACAAATCCTAAATCGCCTCTCACCCAGACTACAGGTCCTTTTAGCTTTCCACATGTCCCACTTACAATAAAAAGGGAAATGAACACTCACCACACTTCACCATCCCAACTTCATAGCACTTCCGAAGTCGGCAGGCTTGGCAGCTTTTGCGCCGGTTCTTATCTATTGTACACTGATTTGTAGCTGGACAAATATAATCATTATGTCCTACAGCAAAGCAAAAAGATGAAGGTTATTGCTACATATGTTCCTCATCAACAACACTGATTATGCTACCCAGCTGAGAGATAAGGGACATCTTCTTGACGACACGTACAAAGGCCAAGTTCGGCCTCATCCATGCCTTATTAGTAAAGGAAACCTAGGAATATTTTAATACCCTACTTTTTGACTAATAGGTTATTCTCTGCATGTACTTAGAATTCTCAAGAGATACATTTAGAAATATTCTCCTTTGGACATGGAAAGTGGCACAGTCACCTGGAAGTGATTTGCTCCAAATCACAGAGCTCCTCAAATATCAGGTCACAAATTCAACTGCTTATATTCTTTAACATATACCCCCCTTTGAGATCTAACATGATATTTTTATGGGAATTCATAGTCAAATAAAAGAACTAAACTAGTCAATAAGGGAATAAAGAAATTAGCAAACTAAGTAAGAACAAAAGAATTGCTATAACAATGGTTGAAGATTAGATTCTTCTCAATTCTTCACTCCCTCCCTCAGCCTTGTGACCTTGTAGTGTGCTAGAGTGGGCAGAACATACTTCCCCACCAACTGATGATGGACTTGGCCATGGGACTTGCGTTAGCCAATGGCATGTTTGTAGATGTGCTACTCCAACAATATGGCTTGGCCTCAAGTCCCCATAAGAAAATGCCTCAGGTAGCCACTGGCCCAGGACAATATGGAGAGAAATGGAGCAGATGTGAACTCAATCCAAGCTTTATGAAAAGAGCCAACCTAACAACTCACAGACCTACAACTAAGAAAAATAATGCTTACTGTAGTAAAATACTAGTTATATTGCAATCTCTAACTAAAGACAATGGTACTTCTTTTAATTCTTTTAAGGAAGAGAGAAGAAAATTCCCATTTTAGAAATTGTTGCAGACACTACATGGAGGATGGATTAGAGACAGCAAACTAATGGAGGCCAGGAGACCAGGTGAGAATCTGCTATAGCTGTGCAAACCAGAGGTGAGGCTGTCTGGACTGAGAAATGGTACAGAGAATGAAGAGAGCTATCGGAATCTGAGAGATTTAGGGAATGTAATAGGAGAGAAGAGAATTATAATTAAAAAGACGAAAAATAAAAGGGCAGAGGATATTTTGGTACCTTATTTCTTAATTGTGTCTTTCTAATAAACACTATGGCCTGAACTTCTTAAATTCCAGCTACAATGGGCCAGAATTTCAACATGGGAAATGGATGAATCTCAATGATAAATTAAATGGGCAAGTCATAAAAGAAACAAACAAAAAATAAAGGAGAAGATTCCATTTATGTAAAGTTCAAAAACAGAGAAAACGAAACTGCACTGTTTAGGGATGTATGCTTAGGTGGTAAAACCATGGCAAGGACGTCAGAAGTTAGGATTGTCTTACCTCTGTAGGAAGGGAAGGAGCTGTGACTAGAAGACCACCCTGAGGACTCTGAAGATACCCCATTTCATGACCTGAGCACTAGTTACACAGGCGTTTGTATTCCTTAAACGGGATATAAATAAATACTGGAATAAATACATTCCTTAACTCTATCCTCTCAGAGAGCCTGGAGGTAGGGACATCCAAGAACAATGAACGAACTAGCACCCAGATCTTGGTTTATAAATATCAGTCTCTTTTTAAGAAGAAACGGGGCTCTTTGGAGAAACAGTTTATTTCAGGACTGGGGCAGAGATAGCACAAGATGAACTTGAAACAGCTTGTTGTGCTGGGAAGTAAAGAAGTGCTCAAGAGTTAATGGGGTAAAAGGAGGGATATTTGTAACACTTTCAACAGTAAAGACTTTTTTAAGTGCCCAAGAATTATGGGTACATCACACACACACACACACACACACACACACACACACACACGAAAAGTAAAGCAAACAGGCTCATAGACACAGACAACAGTGTGGTGGTTACAGAGGTAGGGAGAGGATAAAGAGAGTAAAGGGGGCTAAATATGTGGTGATGGAAAGAGGCTAGACTTTGGGTGGTGAGCGCACAATGCAATGGAAAGATGATGTATCACAGAATTGTATACTTGAAATTATATAATGTATTAACCAATGTCACCCCAATAAATTTAATTCAATAAAAAAAGAAAGTGACTTCAGCAAATCTGGGCTGGCAAGGGAGGAATAGCATGGCAAGGACAGGTGAGATGATGACCTAACTGGCCTTGAAAGCAAGTGTGCACAATTTAAAACTGATTAAAAAGACGATTTAAAAAAACTACTCAGCCCAACAGGAATTTGGAGACTGGTAGGGAAATAGTCTAAACCCAGACAAGGAAACAAGAGGACTGTGAATGGAGGCTCCACTAGTTCAGGACAAGACAGGCCTCTAGATCAATTCTCAAAGCCCACTGGAGTTGAATTCCTGATTTCTGACCATCTCCATAAGATGTATTTATTCTCTCTTCCTCAGGAGCCAGCCCACCATCATGCCTGTTACTCATGCCAGATATTAAACATAAGTCAAAGGAAGAAACGATCTTTGCAATTCCTAATGAACACACATTTTTTTTCCAAGCTTTATCTTGACAAGAGTTGTAACTACATGTCTTCTCCCAAGAAGATGGTGATGGATAATTGTAAGGCAAGACCCATTTGAGTTCTGGGGTTCTGAGGTGGAGATCCACAACTTATAAAGTGCTTTAAACTTGAAACAATCCACCCCACCCCCAAACACACATGATCCTCTAAACTGCTCATCAAGTACTTTGTGTACAAGAGGCCAATGGTGAAATTTGCCAGGTCATCTGCCAAACTATTTGAAAGCAAAAGTGGAAAACTCAAGAAACAACTAACAATACTCTTGTACCTTGAATGCTTCTTTTAAAAAAGGCCTTACATCCTTCACATGACCAGACTCCATAGTGATATCCTGATGCGTAGTCACTGCAGACAGCACAGACGTGGGCGTCCCTCTTTGAACTTGGACTAGTAACAGGGCTGGCACAACTGCTCCCACTAACCTTCCTTTTCAATGTCTCTCTGGAGGCAAAGAAAATATTCTTGTAAAAAGCATTAAGGGGAAAAGAGAGATTTCCTAAGAAAATACAGAAACACAGCATGAACGTTGCTTCATTTATCTCTTTGCCCTCCAGGGTTCATAAACACTAAATTGTGTTTCACTTACAAGATAAGGAGGATCCAAATGGAAAGTAAAGTAAAAATTTCTTTTTCAAACCCAAATCACTTCATCTGAAGAAAAGTGATGTAAATGGTCATGATTGTGAGTTCCCTCCACAACACAGATCTACAAACTCAACATTTAATGAGAACTTGAATATTAAAATGGATATTCTAGAATATCATGTTCTAGGTGCTCTAAGTAATCAATGTGACTAATAAAAACCTCATATAATGAATATCTTTCTTCTCACAAAATCATAAAGCGACTTGAATAATGCCCATGAACTACAGTAAAGACTAGATTTACCTGTTTACAGGTAAGGTGTGTTCTAGTGATCTTGCTTCACACCAAGGACTCTTTTGAGGTTCTGCATACAGAACTGAAGACTGGCAATGGATGGCTAAAGGAGAGAGGTGTCCAGGAGTTGGCCACAACATGTTTGGGCTTGTGGTCTGTCGACCAGGTCCACCCTCCGAGTTACTGACACTGCTGGGAATACTGTAATTCATCACAGCCGGGCTGTAGAATGTCATGGCCGAGTATTCATGGCGGCTCTCTACATAGGAGGAAGGTATGTATATGGGGCCATGCTCCAGGGGAAGGATGGATTGACTGCAATTGTAGGAGGCAGGGGAGTTAAGGCTAGACGGTGAGTTTTTGATATCCATGTCTTGAATAGGTAACATCTGAGAAAACTCCTTGTGAGAAGAGCCACATAGGGACATTATAATGGTCTCAGTCTCATGGGCAGGTATAATGGCTGTAAAGAGTAACAAAGACATTTCTTAGTCAGAGATACAGGCATAACTATTTAAAATGTTTAAGCATTTTTATTAAACACACACACACACACACACTGGTATGAGCTTAGAAATATATCCTGAAAGATACACATGAAAATATTAACCTCAGAAGGATGAATATGTGAAGCAAGGGACTCTCATTTTCTACTTCATTCACTTCTGTATTGTTCTTGTTGATAACCAGAAGAATTTTTACCATGGGAATGTGTTATAAAATTAAAATTCATTGGCTTATATAAAAATTACTGGGTGTTTTTTTAACCTGGAACAAGATAAAGTTGTTACGGAAAATTAATCAAGAATAACCAGGGAACCCCAGAAGGAGCACATCAATGAGCAGGGCCAATAATGAAGAACAAGGACTCACCAGACCAATGTAACGGTCAGTTACCAGTTTATTCAGCGTCTATATATGCTCCCTTACAACAATGGAGTTCCCATGGCATTTAAAATGACCCAATGCTAAACTTTCTCAGTAGAGGGCGCTGCAGGGACACTGCAGGAGGAAGAGGATGCTGTGATTTCTGGCCCACTCATTTCCTATTTGTGTTCATGACAAAGCCCATTCCAATTATCTTTATTGTCTCCTTCATCCAATTGCCTTTAATCACCAAGGCACACTGTTTTTTTTCTCCACGGTGCCTTTTCCCATGCTGTCTTTCGCCACCATCTGAGCAAGCTCTCTTATCTGAGCATCTGCGATAGGCTCCTTACTACTTACTCCTCATCCAAAGAGCAGCCAGATTAACATTCTTCAAAGCCAGCTCTGATCAGCCCTCCTCTTCCCACCAGCCTCTGGGGTAAGTCACGGTCTTCTAACATTCAAAGCCTCCACTGTTGTCCCATCCCATCACTCCACTCTGATCTGCTATTTTCCTACAGGAAACCTGCCATGTCCATAAGGAATATGCAAAGTCCGATGGTTGGCATTGTATGCCTTAACAGTTTTTTTCATTCTTAACACCCCTATAGTTAACATACAAATTTAATCCTTTTTATCAGATTACAATTATATAGAATCCTTCTTGAAAATGGTAGAGGTGGGTGGAATTACAATTAGATTTTTTTTTTAAATCTTTATTGTTCAGATTATTACAGTTGTTCCTATTTTTTCCCCCCATAGCGCCCCTCCACCCGGTTCCCACCCCACCCTCTGCCCTTACTCCCTGGCCCACTGTCCTCATCCATAGGTGCACGATTTTTGTCCAGTCTCTTCCCGCATCCCCCACACTCCTTTCCCCCCGAGAATTGTCAGTCCACTCCCTTTCTATGCCCCTGATTCTATTATATTCACCAGTTTATTCTGTTCATCAGATTTTTTATTCACTTGATTTTTAGATTCACTTGTTGACAGATATGTACTTGTTGTTCATAATTTTTATCTTTACCTTGTTCTTCTTCTTCCTCTTCTTAAAGAACACCTTTCAGCATTTCATATAATACTGGTTTGGTGGCGATGAACTCCTTTAGCTTTTTCTTATCTGTGAAGCTCTTTATCTGACCTTCAATTCTGAATGATAGCTTTGCTGGGTAAAGTAATCTAGTTGTAGGTTCTTGCTATTCATCACTTGGAATATTTCTTGCCACTCCCTTCTGGCCTGCAAAGTTTCTATTGAGAAATCAGCTGACAGTCATATGGGTACTCCCTTGTAGGTAACTGACTGTCTTTCTCTTGCTGCTTTTAAGATTCTCTCTTTGTCTTTTGCTCTTGGCATTTTAATGATGATGTGTCTTGGTGTGGTCCTCTTTGGATTCCTTTTGTTTGGGGTTCTCTGCGCTTCCTGGACTTGTAAGTCTATTTCTTTCACCAGGTAGGGGAAGTTTTCTGTCATTATTTCTTCAAATAGGTTTTCAATATCTTGCTCTCTCTCTTCTTCTGGCGCCCCTATAATTCAGATGTTGGTTTGCTTGAAGTTGTCCCAGAGGCTCCTTACACTATCTTCATATTTTTGGATTCTTTTTTCTTTTTGCTTTTCTGGTTGGGTGTTTTTTACTTCTTCATACTTCAAATCTTTGACTTGATTCTTGCGATCCTCTAGTCTGCTGTTGGATCTCTGTATAATATTCTTTATTTCAGTCGGTGTATGCTTAATTTCTAGTTGGTCCTTTTTCATATCCTCAAGGGTCTCACTAGACTTATTGAGGGTCTTACTAAATTTATTAGAGGTTTCTAGAAAATTCTTGAAAACCCTTATAACTGTGGTTTTGAACTCTATATCCAGTAGTTTGCTTTCTTCCATTTCTGTCATTTGTGACCTGTTTCTTTGTCTCCGCATTTTGGCTGCTTCCCTGTGTTGATAGAGTGGCTTTGTGTGCTAGGTGTCCTATAGGGCCCAGTAGTTCAGCCTCCCCAATTACCTGAGGTGGACACTCTTGGTGCACCCCTTTGTGGGTTGTGAGCACAATCTTATTGTAGTTAAGCCTTGATTGTAGTTGGTATCACTGGGAGGAATTGACCTCCAGGCCAATTTGCTGTGAGAATCAGCTGTGTCTATGGTGGGAGAACTTCTGTGCTGGAGACACCCTTCTGGGGCAAGACTTGCTTCAGTGGGGCTTTGGTGCTGAGTCTGCCCCCTGAGTGTGTCCCTTATGGATCTGAGGAGTTGTAATCTGGATGGTCCCACTCTGACCACTGGGTACACTGGCACTTGGATCTTTCAGGAGGTGCTAATTTAGCCTCTGCCTGAGGCTACCCAGCAGGAGCTACGAAGAGATCTGCAGATTCCTCTTCATTTGGGATTTAGAGGTGCCCAGATGAGGCCCAGCTGTGAAGCAATGCAAGCTGCTGTGGGGCCTTGGGCCTTCTTTTGGATGTTCTGGGTCTGTCTGGACCAGCTGCAATTTGTTAGGTAATTTTAGATTGCAAAGGGCCAGGTCATTCATATGCAAAAGCCTCTGCGCACAGCTTGGGTGGGGCGGGGTCTCAGGGGATCAACAGGGCGGAGCAAGCAGCTATGGCTGATCCTCAGTCCTGCCCTAAGAGGTCCCAAGGTAATCGCTGCAAGCCCCTCTGAGAGAAAGCCGCCCTCGAGTTCTGCCCGCTGCCAGACAGTCCAGTTTCTCCCTGTATGAGTCTGGGTCCCCAGAGACTCACCCGGAACTGGAGTCGGGGCCATCGGGAGCTTGTGCCTCCCTCCCAATTAAAAAAGACAACCGCGACCTCAGTTGCCAGCCCTTTCCACATGCGCCTCCATACCGCTGCACTTTACTTCTGCACCTCCTCTGAGTCTCAGTGTGCTTTTCTCTTTCCTTCTAGTTGTAGAATTTCCACTCATCCAGCCTTCCTATGGTTCTGGGTGATGTCCTTTTTGTCTTTTAGTTGTATTTTTGAAGTGGTTGTGAGAGGCAGCAATTTCAGGTGTTTACCTATGCCAGCATCTTGGTTTCTCTATACAAGTAGATTTTTAAGCACCTTGAAGGCACCCACTATATTTTATTCACCTCCCACCACAACTCAATAATTATTTGTTATAAGGAAAGAATTAGGAAATATGTTTAAAATATAAGATTTCACCAAGCAAGGGTATTAATCAAAGGTGGGAGCACTTTTCAGCAGGCATGGTACAGTGCTGAGAGAGGGGATTTGAGGGAGTCCCAAAACATGCACCCTGCCTTCAGGGAACCCTGTGCCAGGTAAAGGAGGCAGGATCAACCAGGTAAATGATAATGAACTAATACAAAAGGTGCTACCATTTCTAATCAACATTGATTGACCACAAGGGACAGGAAAGAGAATGGTAGCTGGAGAATGTAGGATGGAGGAAGTCTATTTTGTTTTTTAAATCTATGTGCATTTTGTTAATCAGGAATAATTTCATGTTTCAATTACTTAGATTCCCAATCAACATATACAATCCCTGATTCCTAATAGAAAATATGCAGGATAAAACGAACTATTGCCAAAAATTTCCAAACTTTTTTTAAAATTGTGGTAAAAACATATAACATAAACTTTACCATCTTAACCATTTCTAAGTGTACAGTTCAGTGTTAAGTATATTCATACTGTTATGCAACCAATCTCTAGAACTCTTTTCATCTTATAAAATTAAAACTCAACACCTGTTAAACAACAGCTTCCCCCATTCCTCCCTCCCCCAGCCCAGCAACCACCTTACTTTCTGTCTCCATGGATTTGACTACTTGGTCCCTCATATAAATGGGATAATACAGTATTTGCCTTTTTGTGACCGACTTCTTTCACTTGGCATAATGTCCTCAAGGTTCACCCATGTTGTTGCATGTGTCAGAATTCCCTTCCTTTTTACAGCTAAATTCCATTGTATTTATGCATTACATTTTGTTCATCAATGAAGGGTTTTAAATAGATGCTTGAAAACATTTACAGATCCATGGAAATGACCTAGGTTAGAGTGAGTGGCTGGCATAGGAGAGACCATAGGAGTTGGTAATTAGGTCATTGGTAACCTTGTAGATGGCAGATCCAGGACTGACAGCACTGCAAAAACTTCTCTTATTTCAATCCACCTACACATACACCTGCTCACTGTACTTATGTTTTCAATATTGTATCTTGGCAACTTCATTTTAGTGCATTGTTTTTGCTACATGATCTCAGCATATCTTATACAAGCAAATATTTCATCAAAAGGCATTTAAAGCACATTAACAGCACACTTTAAACCATGTACAATTATAACAGTTGAAAGAAAAATATTTAAAGTAACAGGTGTAACAAATTGTATCTATGCATAATAAAATGGAGGTAATATTTAAATTTTGTATCTATTAAACTTTTTTAAAAAAAGGTGTAAGAAAACAGGCTGGCGTACCCAATTACATAAATAAAAAGTATATCCAAAAGTTAGTGTGGTCACCATGTTGAGTATATTAACTTTCTTATACAAAGTACTACTCAAGGTAAACTTATATATGAATAAAGGCAACACTCTCAATAATCAAATGAAGACTAAGTTATATTCAGGAAATTATGAAGCAGGAAAGCAGTGAATT